CTGATTCGGCCTTAAAGTCCGTGTAAAGACTGCAAATTGAGATTGAGATTAGATTGAAATTTGACCAATTAGACTAAAAGTCGCTAAACTTAAGATTAGTAAACTTTACTCTGACTGGTGAAATTTCAATCTAATCTCAATCTCAATCCGTAGTTTGATACGGGCTTTAGGCTTCGTCCTTCTCCGGACTTCTCGTAGGATTGTGTCATCGTGGATTCAACGGTCTGAAAATGCGACCGGCATTTCGAGAGGCGGACTAGCTGACGCGTTTCGCTTTCCAAGGACGATGATCGGTGTGACGAAACGATCAATGGCTCGCGTGTCCGTGCTCCTAATGACACACGCTCATACGCCACTTCTGATTCACGCGAGGAAACTGCGACGAGGACTCCCGCCGGCTACGGCAATTGCGAGTGCAACGTACGTGGACGTGCAGACGCTGAATTTTCTCGGTATCGTCGCGCCCATAAAAGTCGCGTCAGCAAAAGCACGAGACGAATACTCGCCGGGTCCCGTTGCAAAGATCCATAGCCGGGCCCCGCCGTACCATACCGTTAACCCTGCTCCTCCTCGTCCACGATCGTAATCGGCCATCGTTCACCTAATCCGCTTCTCCCAATTAGGAGTGTTTCAGCGTGTCACGAGTTGTCGATTTGTAAGCAACGGTCGCTCTCCAGATGCTACTGCGAATTACGCTTCCGTTACAGCGAGGTCCCACCGATGTAAGGTTTTCGCTACACTTTCGTAACGTGATAACTGTAACTCCGGAAAAAAAAGAAGATTCCTAACATCCTCGCGGACGGAATCTTCTCTTGTAATTAGTTTAGTCTCGGGTCAGTCCCATTAAAAGGAAAGGCGGTGAATCTAGGACGTCTTGCACGCACGATACCTTTCTACGAGGCCGTATCTCTGATAAAAGATCTTACACTCGGCGCTCGAGTGTCGAAACTTCGACCGTGGTAGTGTAACAATGCCATTGTACGGCAACAGAAATAAGCAATTTGTGCTGAACGGCGCGACAAGTGAAATGAGATTAATTAACCGTCGGGAAATGCTCGGGAAACACAATGGTGATATAATGATCAGCTTGGAGAACGATCAGCGTTGGCGCTAATGATTTGAATGATTTGTACACGCCACATTTCTGCAGGTCTTAGCGCTCGGTTCAATAAGCGGATTGGAAATAATTTATTATAAATGACGAAAGGAGAGGATCGGGAAGACACGTATTAGCGGTTCCTCAGGAATAGGATCGTACCAGGAGGTAATTACCAGCGGTATCGCGCGTAACACCGTGTGTATCTATCGAATAAACTTAACGATATCCTTCCCATTAAATCGCCGATCCATACGACTTTATCGCGACTGGAAGTTTAACGGTATCCGAGAGGTCCCGTCTTTCCCGATGGATTTTCTTTACGCTCATAATCGAGCCCAGTTTTCGCTTCGCTCTTCAAGTAAAACAATTATTTGGAGCACTGATCGCGAAAGTGAACTCGATGAAACGTAACGGTGTGGCTGGAAAATAACTAGAAGCAACTAAAACGTTCGTTCCCGCGAATTGTGGCTCAAACACTGTACTGTTGAAACTGTACGCTGTTTAAGGCCTGTTTCCACGATGCTGCAACTTGGCCCAAGTTCTAGTCCCGAGAAATGTGTAGCCAATCAACCTGCAGCTATTCCATAAAAGCTGCAGATTGACTGGCTACACATTTCTCGAAACTAGAACTTGGACCAAGTTCCAGCATCGTGGACGCAGGCCTTTACGCTAGAAAAGAATACGAACTTTCTTGCTTCTGTCACAGAGGTTCTTTTTTTTTCTTGCTGGCTTTCCTCGTTAAGTTGTCTTTTCGCGAGAAGAAATAGAATTTTAACAGAAAACCATAATAAATCTCGCGCGGATCGTTGAAACGTTGTGTTGCAGACGTCTCTAAGCTCTTCTCTCCGGCTCTTTGGTGTGATTTCCCTTTTCCACCGCTCTCCCTCACTCGCTCTACCGCTTATTTTCTGGAGCAGCTTTAGCGAGCAAAAAGCCGAGCGGCACGCTCGCCTAAGTGACCATCGCGCGACGGCTGCTACTCCTCCGACCGGGATCTCCCGGAGGCCTTTCCAATTTTCCTTTTGTCGGTTTCTCCCGTCGCGATCCGGCAGACCAGTCCGACGGCCGTCGATTCCCGTCCCTCTCCGTCTCGTTCCTCGCGAGACGAGTATCAGTCGGCGGATCGGTGTCGCTTCATTTTCACGAGTCATGAGAATGTATGTAAATCAACTTGCCAACTCATTTCCATGACTTCATTAGGCGGCTCGTAACCAGCCGTCTGGTTCCCAGCCTCTTCGATACGCAGATGCCTTCGTCGCTTCCTTCGCCCTCCGTTTCGAGGTAGCATCGGTCAGAACTGGGTCGTAAGGTCAGGACATGCTCGCCGACCCAATCGCCGACTGCTCGGCCGACGCAAAGACACGGGCATTAACCTTGTCCAAGATGGCAAAGAAGTAGAGGGAATGACCGAGTCTGCGGTTTGTCCGGAAAGCATCATCCGGAACACCTCCGTAACCGAACGTTTCGAATTACAATTTTGCCGAGGCTAATGCTGCCCATCGAACAATTAACTGGAGAATACGGCTGAGTTCGCCACTGAAACCCGTTACCACTGATCGCTAATGGAAAACTATGCGTGCCTCGACATCTTTGTTGAAGAAAAATCGCCTCCAAGTTGGCCACCGGGGTCTGCCATTAAAAAATAATGTGGCAGAAGTGGGACGCCTCGTATGTACGTGACGTGACATGAAATTCACGCGTAGTCACTGCAAATACATCATTCGAGCACCGTCTGCTAAGAGGGTTAAAGTGTCACCATTTTCCAGTCGATTCGCGGCAATCGATTGTACACGCAGTCCACTTCCTGTCTACTTTATATCGCCGAGTATATTGGGAAAAACCATGAGTTGCCCGCGACGCTATTAAAAAGACATCTCCATCAAATGAGATGAGCGTTGCAGTTTCGCGTTTCTGGAATCCGAATAGAACAAGAAACGATTTAGGACGACGCGAACAATAATTTTCGTCGCTGACCGTCGCTAAATGTAAAATTATCGTAAGATTGCGTACATATCCGTGCGCGATATTGTAGACGCGAGAATCCTCCCGAGTCATTCGAAATGATTACAGTATTCTTCACCGAGAAAAGAAGGACGGGAATTGTGTGGTTTAGTGAGGTATTCTTTTGCATTCTCCTCGCGTAGAAAGTGCGTATTATACGGCGCTATCAGAGCCATCTTGAAAAACCTAATAGGATTCGCTCATAAATAAACATAGAGCGTCTTAATTTGCTAACACCGATATGCAAATCTATGGTCTATATTTTTTAACGTATTCTAACAAGTGACTAAGGCTTCTTTCAATTTTCTCAAACATTCTCCCAAACCTAGCGGTGTTACAGAAACGAAACATAGAAGATTATCTGAAATACGCGTTTTCTAATTCAGTTTACTTTCTCTAGAGTATTGTGGGAATTTTTTTGTATTCCAATTCCGAGATAAAATCGTATCTCTAGGTGCTTCCGTTTTTACGAAACGCGGTCTTCTCGTTGCGCCGTGTTTAATCAAATCGAATCCAATCGTTTTATCATTTCGTAACAGCGAATGGCCAATGTATCCTTAGCGAATTATGTCATTAAATCAATGCATTTAATGCCTTTTTTAATATCTCCAGCTTTCTCACAAAGCCTTAATTACGAACATATATATGCCCGCTGTTGAGCGATCAACGTCTTCTGCGTTTACATTTTCAGCGGCATTAAGTTGCACTTGTAAAAGGGCAAAACATGAAAACCACCGCGATTTAAATTAAATACGTTCACAGCGATTTTAATACCACATTTACTGACACGCACGATTGCGGTAGCGTGTTCTGCCAGTTCCAATCTTTTACCGATCGTTTTTATGCAAATTACACGCTATATTATAAATTATGAATATATACGTACAAAGTTCGTCATATGGTTACAGGCTTTTAACACTGCTGTAACCGCTCGAAGTAGGTTTATAATGATTTAAAGAAGATGTTATTGCGTTTGCCTTCAGCAATCTACGTAACACTATGCGGGATGTATTACTCAGGTACTTTATTACGCCAGGAATAGCTTTAATTTACCCGACTGCCTTTTTCAACTACTTTACGATCTTCTTTCCCGAAGAAGAGAAATAAATAAGCTCCCCCTTCGTTTAAACGCTTTTTCGTCAAAGCTCAACAGCTACCATTTACTACCCCGAGGCATCTGTTTTTAAAACAACGGCTCAAGATTTATCAAAGGATCTCAGGTTACATTCAATTCCTTTTCTTATCTGACCGTCCGATCGGCAGCATCTTATCTGATCACAGTCCTGTGAAGAACCCCGACAAGTGGCTCTGAGGAACCAATTATCCGGTCGAAAATATGAAAAGGACCTGGCGGTAGTGCACGTGCTACAGATTGTAATCAATCTCCGGCAATAATAAGCCATGGGAGGCTTAAAACGTGGGAATACCTATGATTTTATCAAGTGTAAAATATTGCCATAGCGTTCCAGGAAATTGTTATTCAGGCGTTAGGCTAATAACGATAGCGGCCGCGAGCCGTGGACCGGGAAAGCCGTTACAGGTATTCGCATAAACGTATTGAAACTGGTTCTTTTAATCATTGGCTAAAGTTACTTGAATCGGGGAACTTTGAACGCGCAAAATACGACCGACAATGCCGACAATCTTAATTTGTTAAAACTAATTAGCCCTCAATAGCAAACGATTCCTTAATTATAAAAATTTCCGCACAACGTCAGTTAGCCCTGTCTCTCAGTTCAATTTGTTAACACAAAGTGAAATGCACTTATACGTATTACGTAGCGTGTCATTATATAACAATAATATTTCAGCAGAACCTGTTGCGGGACAGGTGTTCCCGTCCTTAGACGAAAGTTCGGACGAAAGGAACGACGTGGAAATTTTTCGCGCGGTCGTCGAATCGATGAGACAATGGACGCTTTACAAAAAGCTTAATCACAGAGGGAAAAGAGAGGTGTCCAAGGTCTGCTATGAGGACATCGGGTGCTTCGAGGATACCGGACCCTTCAGTTACCTGGAGATGCTACCGTCGCCGCCGAAGGACGTCGGAACCAGGTAAAAAGCCATTGACGAGAAAATACTGCGCGCGATAATAGCCGCAAGAGACTCGCGGGGCTTGTGCAAACTCTGTTACTTTTCGTAACAGGATTTGCACAAGGTATTACTCGGCATTACGTGAAAACGCTTGCGTGAGACCACGGCGGCGATGTAAAATATTTTTATCGTAGAAAATTGCATAATCTCGGGCATTCATTCATTCATTCAATAGGTTCCTCGTATACGGAAGTAGGAAGGCAAGATCGATCCCCATGGAGGTGCCCGCAGACGACATAAACGACAATGCCAACCGTGCCATAGACCCCCATCTCCCGACGAAAGTGATCGTACATGGATTTGGAAGCGATTGCAACCACTTATGGGTTTACGATATGCGATCGGCGTTAATGAGCATTCACGATTGCAATATAGGTATTTATATAACGAAATTTACGTAATTATTGAAATATTTCGCGTCGAACAGACACGACCTAGCACACATCTTTTAATCCGCTTAAGAATTTACGGAAACGTCTAACGATTAGTCTAGCCTTTGTATTTATTCCACAGAATCGTCGTGCAAGTATTTTCATTGTATACCTTTTTATTTTATTAATTCCGTGTATTGAATACGGCGATTATTTATTATTAAATTTGTATTCTTCTACTACACTTCAATCGCGACGCTTGTATAATTTACATATATGTATAGTTATGCTCTTTGCGCGACGAGATGCAACCATAATTTAATGAATCCCGTGATATTTGTTCTTTCTAATGACAAATATATAATAATGAAATAATCGCGAACTCTTAGAGATGCAATTGTTCTCCTCATCGAAAGTTAACTACATAACTACATGCCATTCTAGTTTGCGTGGATTGGGGACCCGGTAGCGCTGTGCCTAATTACGTAAGGGCAGCGGCCAATACACGCTTAGTTGGCCGACAACTGGCAAAGTTAATCCGCAGCTTAAACGTGCCGCTGGAAAAAGTGCACATGATAGGATTCAGCTTAGGAGCCCACGTGGCTGGATTTGCCGGTGCTGAGCTCGGAAATGTGTCCCGAATTACCGGTAAGTCAAATATTCCGCCATTATTGTTTTATTCAAGCAACATTATCGTTTGATAGAAACTATGTGAAAAAATGTACATACATACATCTTTTTCCCTCTACATTCTAATTTTTCCTTCATTAGAAGAAGAAAGATAAAACCTGAATTAGTACGCTATGTTCAGCTATAAAGAATAGACCATTAGATGATTAGACTGCGTCTGCTGATGCGGTCGCTTATATGTCTGGCCGCTGTGATTTTACTTACAAGTTCGGCGGTCATCTAGTGGCAGCACCAAACTTTATAATCGGCCATATAATACAAGTTTTTAATTGAAAGATATTACTTGAAATAATATTGTCTTTTCCATCAAATAATAGAGCTTGTTTGAATGAAACAACTAAATTTTTATTCAAACGAACAACGTTTTGTATACTCGTATATGTTGTTTCAACGAAACAAATCTCGATCAAACAAATAGGAATACTAACTCCAAAGAAACCTTTTTCTCTGCGTATACTTCTTAATCGCGCATTTGCCAGTGATTTATCAATCTATCTTGGCGCATTCGCGACAGGTGCCGTCTCTGCGACGGCGTTGTAACTCAGGCTCATTGTATTCGTCTATGTTTGCATTGGCTCGAAGTGACCGGCGTCTCCGTGCGGATTTCTCATGCTCAAGACACCTCAACGATCGCAATCCGGCTGATCGAGCACGAGCTCGGCCGTATAATCGATTATTAGAGAGTAACTGTAACAAGGTCCCGCTCTCGGCAACCATTTCGACGCATTTAAATGCTCGCTGCATTCTATGCCTCTTACCTCGACACGCGCCGATGCCTTTTAATCGAATACCAGCACGGTGAATTGTCGATCGTGCGTCCTTTTTTTTTCGCTATGTGGGTTCTGGTACAATCGGGCTTCTTTACCCGCGAGGTTTCGACAAAATGGGACGAGTATTTCTCAAACCTCGGATTATCGAGGTAGATATCCTCCCGCCGATACGCTTTTCTCAACGCCGTTTCGCGGAATTAAGAAACAATCGTTTTCGCAAGTCGTTCCTAATTCGTCGTTACGAGCAATTTATCGGCTTCAAGGCGAATCGTGTTTTTTATCCGTCGCGTGTCTTTCTACGTGACCCCCGCTAAATATTTTTGCGCGGATTTCAAGAAAGAGAAACGAATGTTTCCCAAACTTGGGAAACGAGACCCTTCTACCGTGCTTTTTCAAGACTGCTGATTTCGCGCAAGGTTAAAATTTTTGCAACTTCGATCCGGACTCCATACGTTCACCGTGGCGAGGGCGTGTTATAATAAATGAACAGTCGGTTACGCGAGGTGTAAAGTAAAAGTAATCCATAATAACCCGCGCAGCTGTAGAAGTAACCGGTTGATGTTTTTAAGGTGTGCGTGCTCACATTACTTAGTAATTTAGCATCCAAACGCGTAAGTAATGCCGGCGAGCTCTAGGACTGGTAACTGAAATGAAATTTTTTTGAAAATCCGATAGCAATCTCGCGCGGACTAGTTCTTACAACTTTCCAGCTCGATATTATTTCTCTGTTTTCTATATTCCTATAGTCATTAGCTCGCGTATTATATGAGAAACTCGCAGACAGGAATCAGGGAGTAAACTTCGTTTTCATGCACAAACAGGCTTAGATCCTGCGGGGCCGCTTTTCGAGTCGCAGGATCCGAGGGTCCGCCTGGACGCGACGGACGCGAATTTCGTCGACGTTATTCACAGCAATGGCGAGCAGCTGATTCTGGGCGGTCTCGGTTCTTGGCAGCCCATGGGTCACGTGGATTATTACCCGAACGGCGGCAAAATGCAAAACGGGTGCTCGAACTTGTTTCTCGGTGCCGTGTCCGACATCATCTGGTGTAAGTTCGCTTCGCAAGCGTATTGTGATCGAGAGAGGCTTGATACAAGGTAACAGATTTCCGCAATGCGATTACAGCGAGCGCGGTCGAGAGCAGGTCGCTGTGCAACCATCGGCGGGCGTACAAGTTCTTCACCGATTCCGTAAGCCCGAAATGCCGATTCCCGGCGTTCTCCTGCGTCCACGGCTACGACGGCCTGCTGAAGGGTGACTGTTTCCCATGCGGTACGGACGGTACGGATCGACCCTGCGGCGACATGGGCTATTACAGCAACGAGTCACCCGCCAGGGGCCAGCTTTATTTGATGACGAGAGACGAGGAGCCCTTCTGCGCTCATCAGTATCAGATCAAGGTGTACAACAGCCGAAGCGAGAGATCCGCCAAGAGCTACGGCAAGCTCCAGGTAAACGCCCGGGACGAGGCGAATAGCGGCCAATAGCGGCGGCAATTCAATTTCTCTTTTGCTTCACCTTAATTTCTCACATAGCATGCATGTCTAAAAGACATCTTTGAGGCGGCGTAAAGTTGTCTTTTAGACATATACGTCTAAAAGGTGTCTTAAAGATGTCTTTGTGACGTCTTCTATAAGACATGCATTGCTATCTGAGAAATTAGAAATTAGAGACTAGAAATGATTCCGGCTTTATTTTGGTTGCGAACAGCTCTCACGAATCTACTTCCTCAGGCGACGTTTCTTCGTCGTGGTTTATTAAAAGATCGAAGATAAATTTTGAAAGTTTCAAAATCTTAGTGAATGTGTCTCATGTGAACTTCCGTTCTTTCAGGTCACGCTTGTAGGGAAAGGTTCTTATAATGACACGTTCGCGATGACTCGCAAGGACGAAGAGCTTTTGGTAGGAGCCATTCTTCAGAAAATTGTCGTGCCGCATCCCGCGGTCAACCATCTCGAAGCGATCGAAGTAAGTATTGGTGAATAATTACACGTTCACTTTTTGGCAACGAGGGTTGAATTTTCGCGCAAGTGAAAGATGACGCGGTTTCTTTACTAAGGTCCTTTCACAGAAGTACCGTAAATGAAATTGCCTCTTAAACTTTACCACAATAAAAGTTACATCTTGCGTTCTCATTAAACCCGAATAAAGTCGACAATACAGAACTGAACATGCTGAAAGCAGCAGTTACCGAATGACATAATTATTTCGATAATGCCATGTTATCAGATTAAATACACGGCGTACAGCGGCTGGATATCGTCCGGCTTAGTGTCCTGGACTATCGACAAGGTGGCCATAATCGACAGTTTCGGCAACGTCCTATCGGTTTGCAAGAAGGGCTTGATCCTAGAATCCGGCCGGTCGGTCTACCTACCCCTTTACCCGGGCGAATGCAACATACCCTTGGACGCCGACAACTCCACCGCGTCTCTCGCGGTACCGCTCGAACGCGGGGCGACCGAGGACAGGCAGGGCGGCATAGGGCCCTTCACGAAGGAGCAGAACTACGAGACGAAGGACCCCGGGTACTCCGCGGAGATCTCGCCGACGGAGAGAACGTCGCAGAGGCGGGGTCTCGGTCCGTTCACGAAGGAGCAAAATCGGCGCGTCGCGGAGGTCGAGACGGCGACGACCTTCGAGGAGAACACGGAGACGCGGCGCAACGTCGCCAACCCGTGGACCGTTCTGGACATATCCGGCGACGGTGACTCGAACTCGCTGGAGAACAGCGAGCTGGATCAGGGACGAAGCTTCTCGGGCACCGCGAACCTAATATATCGCGCCTCGACCGCGTCGGAGCGCGTCGCCGAGACCACCGCGGCCTCCGTCGCCACGACCACGGAGTACCTGCCGGAGATCAGGGAACCGGTGTTGCGCCCGAGCAAGAAGGACGCCGGCCGATCGCTCAAGTTACCCGAGATCACGGAACCGATTCTGCGTCCGCGCGCCATCAGGCACAATATGCGGAACGAGGTGGTGCCACAGCAGCAGCAGCAGCAGCAGCAGCAGCAGTACGACAAGCAACGCGACGAGATACAGGAGACGTCGTCGACCTCCACGAGAGCATTTACCGTGCAGTTTCTACCTGAGCGATTAGCCGGCATTCTGGCCCAGGCGGAACGATACGCCCGGCAGACCCTGCTACCCTTGATCTCGCAGTACACGCCGAGCTTCGTGACCGGCGCACGCCACGATGAGCCTAGGTATTTTCCTCTCTTGAGCGATATCATGCGTTCGAGGAGCGCCGATAACTCCGGCGAGACCAGCCGGACGACCGGTCGACAGAAGAAAAGCGATCAGATCTCGTGGGTGCACATCGGCCAGCGCAAGTCCGAGAGATCGTTCGGTATCAGAGACGGACGTTCTGAGGAGTCCACTTCGAGCGCGCAGTTGGAGAGCGGTAAGAGTACCGTGCCGAGAGCGGAAGTGTCGCCGGCGATAGTCGAGGCCGTGTACCCGGAGAAAATGACGAACGTTAGTTCCACCGGTTTCGAGGCGAAGAGGACGAGCGATTGGCAGCCGATCGGTGAATCGGCAACCCCCCTGAAGAACGCTCCGTCGCGAAGGGATTCGAATGTCTCGCGGTCGCTGGACTGGTCGGTCGACGTCAGCCGCGACTGGGCCTTGCGTACGACGAACGCGGAGGTCGGGGTCAAGTCCGATGACGACTGGGTGCCGATTACAATCAAGAGCGACGTGATCTCGACGACCGCGCGAGCTGCGAGCTTGGGCGAAGGAACGACAGCGATCCCGGCGATTAAGATCGATATCGCCAACAATTCGCGAAAATCCGCCGAGGATGGAACCCTCGACGAGACCAAAGAGGAAGCCACGACCATCGCGAACACGTACGAAAGGAAATTCATACCGCTGGTTGATCTGGAAGCGACGACCGACCGCCCGTCCTCGTCGATCGACGCTAACGACGTGCCGGGATCCACGACGGTTGCCTCGCATATCCAGAAGATTCCGCGATATCAGACAACAGTAAAAAGTGCCAGAACAATAAACCCCACGATGATGTTCCCGTACGCTTACGAGCGGAAGAACGATCCTAGAACGAGATATATACCGCTGATCCCGGAAGAGGATATGGGCAAGACTTATCCGATGTCCGAGAGGGATCGTTAATATTGAGCTAAAGAATCATTAAAAAATAAGACTCAAAGGCTCGTTTTTTTTACACCGAATTATTTTCAGATAAGAATATTTCGTATTTTTAAAAGAAATTGATGCTACACGTCGTTTCTTCGGTGAACAAAATCGCGAAACCCTCAATGGTGCTCGATCCAAATTACGCGAAATTGAAGCTCCCGCAAGAATAATTTTTTTTTAATCGACGAGTCCATTTCTCAAACGGATAGTTCGGTTTATAATAATTTTTTTCAAAATAGATTTCGAGATTTTTTGTCTCGAAGGGTACAACTAATAGTCTGTGATGAGAAATAATGCGATTTAAAATCGGTATATACTTCGGACGCTCTTGCCTCGAGATTAAAAACGCGCTATTTCTCGCGTGGCGGTGATAAAATATTAGATATAGAAAAATGCGAGTGTAATTTTTGGTAAAGTGAAATATTGTGCCTTATGATAGTTGTCGACGTCAAACTAACGCTTCTTTTGTACCGAGTTCATAAGTAACCCTGTTAAAACTGCAAGAAAGATCCCCCGCAAATGTTTTCTCCGGTCATCAGGATTGTCAAGACTTTAGCAAAAAATCTTTAATAACCTCCATTTTTTTTGATAAAAATTGGGAGCCCTTAACTTTATTATCTTTGTATGTATATATATATATAGGAATTCTTTACATAGCTATATATATGTATATATACATACAACACACACACATATATATAGCTTCGCCTTTTAATCATTATAACTATTATTATCATCGCCGTCATCGCCGCCATTAATTCTTTCTTTTTCCACGCTTATTTATGCCCAATCTATGAGTAATGATCAATGATCACGAGAAAATCGGGTATTCACAGCGCTCGCTATTACATATTTATATATATGTAATGTATACATATTACATATATATAAAATAGATATACAAAACTTTTATATTGTATATATCTCGACCAGCGCGGGAAGCCACGAGGGAACCCGAGATATCGCGCGTACCCTCTTCATAGTATAATAATATAAAGAGCTAGAAGATACGGGACTACATCGGTAGCAATCGTAGATTCTAAACAACAGTTGAAAAGTATGGAAGAGACGACGTAGTTTTGCGTAGATTTATATATAGATATATAACCTTTAATATAACTGTTTTTACTTAAAATAAATAACCCATATTTTTCCTTTTTTTTCAAATGCGCCTCTCGGTCCGCTAATTCCGTTATCTTTTTCTCTCTATCTTTTCTCCCACCCTCACTCACGCGCTCTCGCACTCGCAACATGTATCCCGTAACTTTGTCACTCCGTAAACCACGCATTTATTGCCCTCTATCGATCAGGTTGAGTCTCAGGATATGCCCATCTTCCTGATATGTCCGTACACTTAAGAACTAACTCGTTCGCAGTCCTTCCCTCGCTTCGATTGTTCAGGTACCGATTGACGCATCGAGAAGAAGAAGAAGAAGAAGAAGAAGAAGAAGGCCCCGATTCGACGAGCGAAAATAAAAAAAAAAAGAGAAAGGAAAGAAACGCAAAGACACACGGCGCGCATCCTATTGTACACGAGGAAGAAGAGACTGCGAATATCGTTGACGCGATCTCGAGCTTCTCTATTTACATACGACCTATTACATAACGAACGCACAGTCTTATGGAGTAAACCCGTGAGCGAACTTCGACAAGTAAAAAGGTATCGTCACATTAGTCTATCACTCTACGATCGTAGATTTGGTTCGACTCGCTGTCTGAGCGACAAAACGATTCACGTTATATATGCAAAAGTCGTAGCTACCTACATAGATATCATTTTTGGACGTGTACACTTCGTAACGCACACGCACACGCACGCACACACACACACGCAACGCACACGCAACGCACACGCAAACGCACACATACACACACCGGTGCGATGCACCTTCGCTCACTCTGCCTCGCATGCCACCACACTTTCACTTTTCCATTGTATAAATATACCGACGTTTCAAAAAGAAAAAAAAGGGAGAAGAATACCGCGTGCATCTAGGGCGCCCCGGTTTCGTCTCACGCTCATCTCACGCACGCCATTTCAATCTTAAACACTACAAGTTTTAGCACTACAACGTACAAAAGATAAGGCCGCCACATTTAATACACTGACTAGATCAGTTTCATATATTCTCTTTTCGAAGTGGACAAACTCTCACGGCTACGCGCAACACGCCAACAAGAAATATCCGGGACACGGTGTTACCTCTGCCAACAAAAAAATATATGTATATATGCATTATCGTTATATATCTCCGGCACTTTGTATCGCGTATCCCCGAACTATTATAACGCCGCGACGCGCGGAACTGCGAATCGCTGAAGAAGCACGTAGCAATGCCGATAAACTTCGCGTTGCGTCGACGTCGAAGTCAAAATGAGAATCTCGCGAACGCGACGTAGGCCTCCGTAGACGTGGAACTTAAGAGCCATTGCTCCCGATCTTTCATTGCAGCATGCTAGATAATGTCAAAAGAAAATGCTCACGAACATCTCTCTCGCATCAAATTTCTGCTTCACATCGAGCATCATATCCAGATAGAATAAATTTTAATAAAATAAAAATGTCTTCTTACCTGATAAGTAACTAAGTATTTCAATTTATATAGGATTCGTAGAAAAAAAAATTCGTTTCTTGACAGTAAATTAAGATTTACAGCTGTTATTTCATTAGCTGAAAAGAGAGAATTACAAGTTCTCTGAAATGTAAATGGTTAGATGCAATAAAAATTCAATTCATCTTGTCATACATAGAAAAAAATTAATACGGCATGGCTGCAGCAACAGATCGGTGAACCCTTAGGTATAAACCTCTTAGGTATAAAAATAGAAATTAAAAACTGAAAGAAGTGTTAATAACACATTATAAGGAAAGGAAAACTCAAGACAATCCGACAAAAAATTAACCGTATCAATAAAAAAAATTAAGAATGGCGAGATAAGAACCTTTGGCTTGTCGACCCGCCTATTCGACTTAATGAAAAGAAGTCATTCACCCTTTTTCGATCTGTATAGCTATCCTTGCGGTGATCGGTAATACCCATGGTTCGTGTGCATAAGGACGGAGATGGCTACTAGGAACTGCGAGGCACTGCAAAATGTGTGTCAATCGCGAGAAACCGATTGGCCTTACATCCGGCGCTAATCTCGAATGCAGTTTTCCAACAGAATTCGCTATCGCCTCGCTCTCTTCCCACCCTACCTCCCTGTCTTTCCCGAACGGCGCATCGTTGTAGCCAAATTGCGATGAAACGCGACTCGTGTTGCGTATAAAAGATCCTGTGTCGATGGCTCCGCCAAATTTCAGTCGTACAGCTCAATAATGTATGTATGTAGATTATCAAAAAACATCACAGTCAGGTTACTAGGTTTTTAGAGAAGTGTCTGTAAGCACGCCGCACGCGTGTTATCAACTATCCTGCCTACGAAGTCACGAGTGACGCGCCGGTACTAATATAATTGCCCTTTCCACCCTAATCTTTTATGCGCAATAAGATCGATTGCTACTATCTTTAACGTAACGTAACTGTCTGTCCTTCACTCTCAACTACATGCAAGAAACACGCTAATTATCGCGTAACGTCCCAGAATTCTCCGTCGCCTCCGTGTATGATGACGAGCCTCTGTCGAATGTCCGGGACCTGTATTGCGTTTCATTGTACATACGATTCTTTTCACGCGGACGCTGCTCGAACGTCGAAGGGAAACGATAAGAAATCGCCAAGAGCCTCACGCGTAATATCACTTCTTGTCGAATAACGCAAGTTTACTGCGCACGGCACCTTCGCACACGACTAGCCGTTGCGCGGCCGAGATGCTGCTGATGGGCACGGGGCCCTCCAGGCTGGCCCGTAGCAGGGTCAGACGGCTGGGACCAGCAGCGTCACCGTGATCGCCGAGTCTACCTGCTTGCTTTCTCTCGAAGTATTCGACGATCTTCGAGATGGTCTTGCTCGACGAGCCGATGCCGTTCAATCGGTCCTCCCAGCAGGAATCGCCGCCGCCTAAGCTGGCAATGTCCTCGGAGGAGTCCGTGTAAATCGAACTGGTCCGATGGTCGTCCAGCAGGAACAGACTGCTCGCTGCCGAGCTGCTAAGGGTCGACGTGTGCCGTCGATTCGGCGGCTCTGGGCTCAGGTCCTCACCGACGCAGCTCCAGAAGCCTGACTCGCAGCTGCCACGTCTTCGCGGCTCCCAACCGTCTCGGAAGAGCGGATGGGCGAACAGGCTCGCGGCACCCACCTTGGTAGCAACCTAATAATATGGTAACATGCGTTAGCACACGCGGTAATAGCACGATGTCTTCGAACGTTTGCGATAATCGAGCCCTCAAACTTGTAACAATACAAGGAACGTTTTTAAGACAAACGTTTCTAGACATTACATTCAATTATTTATGTTCAATTTGCGCACCTACCTTTCTCTCCCATTTCTTTCTGGCGGTAGGACTGCTCGGCTCGGAGTTCGGCTTCTTCCTGTCCAGAATCTTGGCAATGCTGTCGTTTTGCGCCGGTTTGAACTTGCTGCACGCGCTGTCGGTGACACTTGGTCGCACGTCCTCCAACGAGGGCAGCTCCAGACAGCTGGAGAACAAGTCGCCGAGGATTTTCTTGACGCCGCCCAACGCGTGAAATGGATTCGCCGTCATCGGCCTGTAATGTGGATCGCGGCGGCTGGCGAGCTCGGCTACCCGCCTGGCGGAATGGCATCTCGCCTTATCTGATGGCGTCGCATTGTCACAACCTCTCGCGTCAGCCGATTGACTTCTGAGTTTTGCGGTGCGCCGCTTCGTCGTGCGTCCCTCTCGCGCGATCTCGTCCATGCTGGACATGAGCGTTGGATCGACGGTCGACTGCCGTTTACCGATGTTATTCTTCAGCTCCTCCTCGAAAGCCGCTATCATGGTCTCCAAGCTAGTCGTGATTTCCGGAAAGGTCGGCCTGGACCTGGGCTCGTACTGCAAGTAGACGACCGCGCCATTTACAATCCGGATTAATAAATAAATTAATTCAGTTAGCAAACCTTGATTTACTGATTGATAAAATTTAATGACCATCCGCGTCAGACATTTCGTTCGTTCGTGCGTGCGCGCGTGCATGCGTGCGTGCGTGCATGGTACTCTCTATCTGGTAACAGCTATACTAATCTCCGATCATTCGCGCCGGATCCGCGGCGTTGCATGCCTTTACAGTTAGATATCATCGTACTCACCGTGCAGCAATTGAAGGCGAGCTGGAGGAAGGCGGGCGGTGGATCGGCGGCCGCGCAGATCTCCGCCACGGCCAGGTAATCGAGGCCAAAGTTATCTGAGCGTGGCAGAACGTCCGGATCCGCCGGCACCCGGCCGATCAGCTCGCACACGACGATGCCGAAGGAGAATACGTCGGATCTGTGGTCGTACCACTGGCCCTTGAGGCACTCGGGCGACATCCAGTAGGGGCTGCCGACGGTGCTGAGCCGGTAGCCCGAGCTGGGATCGGGTATCTTTGCGGCCAGACCGAAATCGCCCACCACCGCCGTCATCTCGTTGCTGCACTCGTCCTTCTTGATCAGCACGTTCTTCGACGTGAGATCGCGGTGGAAGAGGCCGCGGCTGTGTAGATAGGCCATACCGCGGGCCACGTCCCTCGCCAGATTCATCCGGACGAGGTGCGGTAACGACGTGTGCCGCGACATGATCAGCTGCTCCAGGCTGCCGCCGTTTATGTACTCCGTTAACGCATGCAGCTGACCCTCGTGCACGCACACCCCCATGAACCTGGGAAGAGGAAGAAGACGAGATCAATCTTCCCGAGTGCTTTCGAGAAAACTTTTTACTCTCTGTCTGACGGCAAAAAAACCCCCCGAGATTTTCACGTTACCTAGAAAAATGTATTCGAAGAGAAACGGCTGTATCGTGAAAACTTTTTACTTCCGTATCTAGCATGTTGCGGTGATTAAGATAACTGATAAAGGCAGAGCCGATGCTATCGCAATAATTCAGTTACAATATACGGATTAAAGACCTGCTTAGACTCTCGAATTATTTTATTAGATGTAGGACACACTCGAGACCTTCGTTTTTACTTGTACGACTACCTTATCGTAAATAGTCGCAGTCCTCGGTTCTGAGTGACTACACAGTAAAAAAAATCGTGTGTTTAAATGTTAAAATTTTCTTGCGTTACCAAGATTTGATTCTTATTTCAATGTAAAATTAACATAATAACTTGACTCTTTATGTATGTCGTTAAAAAACTGAATATTATTTTCAGTACTTTTAACACAACTATTTCACAAAATCAACCAAAACATGTAATATCGACATTTCTTTAAAATTATTTCAACTATTCTAATTTGTAACTATTCGTCTACTTATCCTGTCTGTTTTTATTACATCACACTTGTCGAAAAGTAACACGCGCGAAGAACGTTATCTGAAAATTTAGAGTGGACCTTTCGGGACATGTAAAAAATGTTAACATTAACATTTTATTTTTGACTGTGTATGTAAGCAAAAGAGCTCGGTAAGAAATTGTGATTACAATTCCGCATTTGAGAATTAATAATTTAAATGTGCACCACTGCGGAACAAAAAGAGAATGGGATGAAGAGCCATTTGAAAATTTAATAAAATTTATCTAAAAGCATATATGAAAGAATACAAAGGGCGGGCTGAACTTCTATACTCGTCACGTCAAGCCTCGGGCCGTCGAAAGGTTTAAATGTAACGCTGCGGCAATATTCTTAAAATGGTCACAAGGTAAAGCGATATTTGTCGCGTCACGTTCGTGGAAGCGCAAGCGAATTCAGAACTCGGCGCTTTTATCAATTCAGTGATTCCAGACGAGATTAGATAAGGCGAAGGTGAACAAAAGAAGAATAGAGCAAAGTTGACGAACAATCACAATAACGTTACGTGTTGTGCTTTAACATATTGTACGCTTGCTTTCTCCGATTTGTGAGATACGGCAATAAATAAGACAAAATGTAAACGGAGACGCGTACACAGATAGCGCGCGCTTATACTCGGCATGAAAACGATCCAGATTATGGAAAATGTAACGTTACCCGATAACTAAGTCTGTCTGGTAAAAGAAGAAAGGATAAAAAGAGAAAGCGAATAAAAATCGCGCCGAGACGTAAGAAAATGTTATTTATGGATAACACTGTCGAATATTGTCCACCACTCGCACGCTTGTTGAATAACGAATGCAGGTGTGCTTTAAGGATGATTAAAAAGTCTAGACGGCTTTAATATGTGTCTGTGTATTGTAATTTAATCGCCGCGATATCATCGGCGTTATCTTTATAGCCGGTATATATGCTAGATTAAACGTTGAAGAGAATTAAACATCGCCTTGCTTCAAAGAACATCACGGTCCCGTTTATCAGGTGATGCTTTCGGGCAAGGTAATATTGCTAAATGTTCAATAATGTATATTATTCAATGGCAAACATTGCCGAGTGTCATACCGTGAATCATTTCGATTTTAATTGCAACGTAACGAGTAAACACTTTCATTAATCTTGCCGTGTATATCGATGCACAAGTAAAATATAAATTAGTAAACACGTGTTGGGTACATTCCGAGGGGGAAACCGCTGACCAAAATCTTGTACACCAATGCCCACTAATGCCCAGCGGGCATTACTTTATCTTATTATCTTATTTTATCTTACTTAATCTTAAAAAATATACCTAATAAAATAAGAAATTTTATTACATGCAAATTGTATTGTAAATCATAATTTCTAAATCGCAGCGTGAGAGACATTGCAAGTCTTCTTTTTTTTTCTTATTATTTCATTAAGCGGCAAAACCACAAACGGGAATTCATTCCAAAAAGATTCCGAGATTGCGATAAAACAACTTGATTATATCCTGAAAGGTACTTCGCTTGCATTTCTCCCGCAAGTTAATCGGCGAGCGCACTTTGCGTTATCGCGAGGGTAAGATCTTGCATAAATGGTAGAGCTGAGGAGAAGAAAATCGCGAGCTGCGCCGCGTCTCGTCCCGATTTCGAGGCGTTTCTCGCCGAGCACGTCGACGGCGTTTCTCCCACAAGCGACAGAAAGGGGGGGGGAAAAAAAGGAAGAGGACAAACAGACCCGCGCGATGAGAAGCGCAAAAGAGAAATTTCCGGCGGAGAATTTTTCTCGGGTAAAACACAGGCGATATGCATACACGATGCTCCAGATTCATTTTTTGCCGATCAGATAAGAGGAGAAATTGTCGCTCTCCTCGCGCGCTTCCCGCGGGGCTCGCCGCTTCGCGCGATTGATACACGGTGGAAACATTAATTATGTACCGCGTCACGTCCGCGGGTTCCACGGACTAAACAGACGCCTGGCATAACGCACCGGCGGGAGGAAAAAAAAAGATTTTCGAAGATTATACAGCTGTAAGAGTGAAAGTCGAGATGATAAGGCGAACGGTGGCATAGATCGATATAAGCGAATAAAACAAAAGCGATTTATCGGCGAGATAATTGTAGTCAATCTCCTACGTAACTGCCGCTCTCTTTTCAGCTTTGCTTTCCTTTACTTTTCCGGCTCCACCTCTTCTGCTCCGCGTGTTCATTAATTTCGGATCAACTGAATACCTCGTCTTATTTTACGTGTCCGACGTGTATATTCGTTCTCCGTTGATTTCGATTCAAATCGTGACGCGGACCGCGCACGATGCACACAAGTCGAAAGTCTGATGCCGATACGAGTGTCTGGCCATGCCGCGTCATTATCTACTAGCCGAGCGCCAGAGCGGCGTTTTCTCTTTCACCCGGCTAGGCCAGAATTCATTTTCCGCGAGCCAAATATTATGTAAAAGATCGTTCGCGCTCGTGCGAGTAGTCGCGAATCAATTGGGGGGGGGGGGGGGGCAGGAATTGTACGGAGAATCATCTTCGAGACGCGGGATATTTTCGGACACTGCCTTGTTTCCATTCAGTCGCTGCCGTCGCGAAAGCGATGGCGCACCGATTGTCCAACCCAGAAAGTCGTTCCAAGCGTTATGACTGGGATGCTGCTGTAACGATACTCGCTGAATACTATCCTGATGTTACGGCACCGATGTTTACGGCCGATTATTCTTCGAAAGTATCGCGGCCTGATCGTGTCGCACTACGCAACAGATATCGTAAAGACGCCGTGTCAATATTATTAAAATATATCACGACCGTATCGCGCAACGACAGCAGACTGTCTTAGAAACGATATTGTTTTCTTGGAAATAAATATTTTAATACAATATTATCGATAGGTCGTGGCAATAATCGTTGACAAACGATACGCGATACCAGGACGTTTCATTAACTTATGCACAGATAATCACAACTTGCTTTTAATAAATCACGGAAAAGAATCGACGTCCAATTGGCCGAACACTTGAAGCATTTATGTAACGGATAGCTGTGCGTCTTGGATAATTTTTAATAGTTCGACTGAAAAATTTCAAAGTTAATTGAAGCAAATGGACCACGAGAGCGAATATTTATGTCGTATTATTGCTGTCAGCTGCGCTGTTTAAAAATACCGTGTTTCCTTTTTAGAACACCTTGCGCAACGTCAACACTTCCTGAAATTAATGCAAGGTATCCCCGTATAGAACGCTTTCGCGCTATAGCAACGACGGTTACGACGCAACGACGAGCGCGGGTGTCATGATACAACGCGGCGAATGCCGCGGGTGAGGATGATAACTATTTTTGCGGCTGAGTCAGCCGGGCGCGCGAAGCGGAGGATCCTCACGAGGACCCGCCGCGAGTTTTCGCGGAGGCCTCGCGCCGAGGGAAATGCCAGAAATAAGATCCGCTAGGTCCGCGGACGGGTAAACACCGTATCCGAATCTGGGCCAAGCCGTTTATATCGTCGGAATGCGTTGTCGTCGCGGCGCGTCCCGTCAAACCGCGTCCCGTCGTCGCGCTAGCAACGGTTATGTCACAACCGGGAGGGGCAAGTGGATTTCCGAAGAACAAAATGGAAAGCCGAAAAGCCGTCTCCTGCGCATCGAACTAACTCTTCGCGCATCCCGAGGCACAAATTTTCGCCTTTTAAATATCTCGCGCGGTGAATTTTGCGCCGGATATTCGCAGAGATGCCGGGTATCGATTCCCATACCCGGCGGAAAACAGAATAATTCGGGCGCACGTGAAAATTGAGATTCAATTAACGAAAGTATCGAGACAACAATTTTTTAAATATCAAGTAACTGATATTTAACATGTAAACAATTGAAAATAGCCTTTTTTAAGCCACAGTAACGAAATATTGTATTTAATATTGTACAAATTAAATTTATTGCAATATTAAACTTAAAAACAACAATTTTTTAGATATAAAATAATTAATATTAAAAAAAGAAGTAAACAATTGAAAATAATCCTTTTTTAAGCGAAATAAATGAAATATTATATTTAATATTGTACAAATATTGTACAAAATAAAATTTATTACAATAGTAAAATTAAAAATATAAAAATTTTTTTAATTTCAAATAATTTATGTTTAGCATATAAACCATTGAAAATGGTCTTTTTTTTAAGCCAAAGAAATAAAATGTTATATTTAATATTGTACAAATAAAAATTACAATATTGTATCGAGAAATGATATCTCCTTCCCTTCCCGGGACATAAAATAATGTATCCAATTGCGCAAATTAATAAACGTTGTAGCACGCGTTGTGCATCCCGCGCCTCGGATTCTCAGCTGTGCGCATCCAGCAAGAATTTTCGCAACGGGTACAACGTGCCGCGCTAACCGCCGTTCCCGCTAGGCGACGTATTATGTCGTAATTCGTAACGAGCGTAGTTAAGGCGTAATACCGTTTTTTCTAATTCTTTACCCATTTCAGTGATCTCCCGAGCGAGAGGAATTTCAACGATACGATCGCCGGGCGATAAATCAAACGTACATGCGACAGCGCGTACTGCAATTTGGATTGGTGTCGATTACGACGGGCTAGTCCAAGTACATGGTCGCCACGTGCTTCGCTAATTCCGCGGAGTCACTCGATACGAGAATCCCGTGTCAGAATTTTGGCACGACGCCGGAAAGAAGGACTTAAATTGATTCGCGACAAGACGAAACAAACGTGGGACTCGAGCACGAGAGTTTTGCTGCGAACCGGCTATAATAAATAGCGCAATTCTTGGAAAAGTACGAAGAATATAGAGAATTTTACTTAACACATCGAAACTATGAACGAGAGAGACTCTTCTATAGATATAGTCGGTTATTAATAGCGTCTTCCATTGGGAAGAACTCGCTGGCACTGGCAGCTCCGAGTGCTCGGAGCACATTTCACATTGGTTGCATTAGTCGTTATTGGTATTTGTCGTTTGTCAAAGTTAAACAGGGATAAAACGATTCACCGTGTCAACTGTGTCTCTTGCTGGAAAACGCCTAAAATACCACCAATAAAATATTCAAGCACTCAGTGCTGCCAGCGCAAGCGAGACGTTAACAGGAGTATGATAAAACGTAATGTCTCAACGATCGGTGTTAACGTCGTCGAATCTACATCGGGAAAATCCGAGAGTATCGCCGCGTCGAAAAATGCACGGCGCTCGTTATTGTTTCACTCGCGAGACTTATCGTTCACGAATTCTGCTCGCATTGAAATAGTCCGCGCGAAAGAGGGTCGCGGCGCGTCCGCCCGCGACACGCGGATTAAGCGGGCAAGCAGAGCGGGTAGAAATTTATTTTATCGTCCTCATCGAATTCGGCACGTACGGCCGAGCGATTTTCTTCGATCGCAAAACCAAGTTTCACCGGCGAAAAGTGAACCGGACCCGATTCCCACTCACCTGAGTATGTTCGGATGGCTGAGCTTGTTCATGAGCTGGACTTCCTTCAGCATATTCGGCCTGTTCGCCGCCAGCTGATTCATCTTGAGCACCATCACTTGACTCGTCACCTTGTGAGTAACCTGGAAAAACGAAGTAGACACACGCTAGTAACGTATTACGGCGCGCAGTCGATGTTATTGACGTTAGATCATACGACAGGTGCACACGTAACCGCGCCGATTTCCACGCGTTGCGAATTTTGCCGAGGTCACAGGCGCAACGGCGCCGTTGCTCGACCGGTATAGCGCGCTGTCTCGAGACATTCTATAGATAGAGGTGTGACATTTTCATGTTATCCTTATACGCAAAATATCGCCAAATACCCCAGGAACGTTTTTAATGTCATTTCTTTACATTCTGGGGTCCCCAACTTCGTTTTAACACGTTTTTAAAACTCAAAATGACTCGCAAAATAATTTTCCTTAGTAAACATTTCTAATGTCGATATTGTATCCTAAACCAAAGAGATTTATGCCCAAGACTAGCTTTGATTTACTTCTTTTAGACATGTTACTGCTTTTATAGCCTGAAAATGATATGTAATTTCAGTAATTTGTTCCATGCTATTTTAATATGTTACGTCTTATATTTAACATGTGCTAAGTCTTAATAAATGTCGTAAATTGTTCTATCAAAACATTAAGGCCCGGTTTCACCAACGCTGTTTAGCTTTAAGCTTATTAAATTCGTTCTTTGCCTCCTTCTAAAGTACAGTTGGAAAGAGACGAGACACTAATAAAAAAAAATTTTTTTAAACTAAGTAAATAGATTTGCTTAAAATTATTTTTTCTTCGTTAAAGTAAATATTTATTCTATTTAAATAAACATATCTAATTCTAACTAAATCTATATATTATTTTAGACGAATTAACATGTAAAAATAAAGATCGAGCTGGGTCAATGGAAATCAATTAGAATCTCGAATAAAATATTCCCGACCGATAAAGTTGCGTGTAAGACTAGCCACACGTGGTTTTACATATATTTTATTTATGAGCAATTTATGCCACATTATACCGCGCCTGTGTGCCTGCAAGTTAATTACAGGATATGAAATTTCTATGATTCACTAAAGCACGAGGCAGAGGGCCGACCTACATAATTCATAGTCGCATCTCCTAAGAATGACCCTAATGCATCGAGATAATTTCATCGTGATTGCGCGAAACGTTTCTCGCGAAACTTATACCGCGAGATCATTTAATAATTTAACTACGACCACGAGAAAATACCGGATCTTCTCCTTTAACTGTATGAGACTATTATTATATCTTTCTTTATATTTCTGGGTGCCTCAATAAATCTTAAATTAAAATTCTATTTGAGACTCGTACATTAATCGAACAAGATTTTCGTTATTTTCTCATTATTAATGCAAAAAAATCGCGTATCGACAGTTCTGTGTACAGCCGACAAACTTAATCGGCGCACAGTTTAAAGTCGAAAAATAGATGCCAAGATTAACCCTTTGAAGCATGGTAATTACTGCTGGCGACATGGAAGAATATTCTTATTAGTTGATTAACGCAAATATTGAGAAAACAAACCAGCAGAGTCGAAAATTTCTATCACGGTGCGTCCTGTACAATATTGGTGGACAGTACTCGGCTCGAGTACTCAAAGGCGACGGCGACAGTTGCGTTTCTCATCGCCGAGTCGACGAAACACACGAAGGTTTCCGTCGTCCCGTTTTCGCGTAGCGGCGAGTAACGCTGACGCGATATTCTCGCGAAAGAGAAACTTATTAATGAAACTGTGGCATCTGGCCGGCGTAAGATGCGCTCGTAAAGGCGCCGGCCGAGCCGCTCGCAGCATCGTTCAATGTCGAAAATGGACATGCGGGGTCGCAATTCCCTTATTAGCCCTGAAAGCTGCCGCGCGGTTGCTCAATGAGCGCGATCACCGCCGGCTTCGCCGGCAATTTCGATTGTCGACGGGGAAGGAGTCGGGCCTCGTAAAAACGTTCTTGGGTTCCGCAAATTTCTATATTACGTTACGATAAATTGAGAAATAAGAAATCGGATCTACCGCGGAATTATCTAATCGATATACGAAACATTCACCGGGGAGATAGTTATCGCCGCTGAGGAAACTATCATTAAAGTTTATCTATCCTACCGAACCTGTTGCTGGAATCTTTCACGTTGATAAAGTGTATATACACTTTACATTGCACGCTACATTTTTTAACACGGGTACTAGAAGAGCTAATTATCTTTCTCGTTATCGTCAGGGGTTTCTAATTAAACAGTCGTCCCCATCGAGCCGCGAGAAACGCGGTCGTAAATTTGTCGAATGGCGATAACGCAAAAGCGATCTCACATTTATGCGCGCACGCCCTGGCTAGCGCGGATAAAGTCGAGAATACGACCGCGCGTTTCGACGTTTCCTCTCGCGACGGCGCGAGAGCATCATCTTCCGAGAGATGCGAGACGCGCCGACAGGGTTAAGGACCACTGGATTACATCAACTCGCTCCTCCAGCCGATCCGCGCGGCGTTGAAAGGCGTAATGCACTCTTTTACATTCCGGCGCTCGCGCGTTTTACCGTTCATCTCGAATTTCGTCTCGGCTCGAAAAAGAAGTCGGCCGGAGATGAGACGGGAAAGGTGATGAAAATGGAGACACGAGGAGAAGGAGAAGGAGAAGGAGAAAGAGAGAGAGAGGGAGGGAGAGAGAGCCTCTCTCTCGCGGCCGGCCGGCCGGGCCGGCGTCGGCACGCGAGATGGAAATTTCGGGGGTTAAAAAGTCGAGAATAATATCCGCGGGGAATCTGGCCAGGATGCCTTGGCTGGCTCGCAGTTGGGTCGCGGCCAAGCTGTGACGGATACGAAAGACGGAGCCCGTGGTCCATCGTAAACAGAACGGACTCTCGCGCGAATCGTGGATGCTGCCTCGCGACAAGAGGGAGATCGCGACGAGGGAAAAAGCGCCCGTTCGAACGCCGACGATTTTTACCCTCGCTCGAAACCGCTCGGACGAAAAATCGAACGTGTCATACGTCCGTTCACATCGCGTCGCGCCCGTTTTCGCCGTTTCCTGAAAACGGCCTTTCACGTCGTTTTTTTTTCCTTTATTTAACAGAACACGTTCCGCGCCCGGCAGCGGAAAGTCTCGCTGATCGATTTGCGATCGATCTGTCCTTCGCGAAGTTGTTCGACAAGAGACATCTATTTCTAAATATTTTACATTAAATATCGAGCGGATCACTTCTCATTTTCAATTGAAATCCCGGAGGACGTTTAGCATTTACATGACCGTGACTGCTGTCCGCGGATGAATAAAAAGTACTCGAGATATAAGTCGGTCGCGATCGAAACGCTTCACCGGTTTTCTCCGCGCGCGGCTAAAGATCCTCTACTTTATCATCGAATAAATTGTCATTAATACGCGACGCGAAATCGCGGCGGCCTCCATTTATCCTTCCGTTTATCTCGTCGCAAATTGCGACGAAATTACGAGCACGTAATTGATCCCGCTTGAGCGCGCGTGTGATAAACGATCGGCCGTTGTAATGAGGCTCGTCGCACATTTCCAGATCAGCCGGATATCCCAATTTTCATTCCTCGCCAAATACGAGAGTGAAATGCGCTCGGAATGTATTTATAGCGGTGCAGCGGCGTTCGATCATTCTAATACGTGTGCAAGTTTAAATGCAAGTCTGTTGTGTCTTGTTATTAGAAATTCATTAATCACAATCACAGGGCGGGGGGGGGGGGGATGTGAAATATGAAAATCAGGATGATCGATGACTCGTGTATCACTTAATATTTCCTCTTTCTCTTCGGCACGCGTACACGCGAAAGAGAGAAACAAAAGAGGTAGAAACGTGGACGCGAATGCAATACGGATAGCTGGTGAGTCAACCGACGGGAGGATCGGACGATGCTGTTGGTCACCCGTGCCGATTCATTTGAATAATTCCCATTGTCTGGAAAGCATCGGCCTTGCGTGTTTTCTACGCACTACGCGCCATTGTGTTTACGATCGCGGAGAGAAAGCACGCACGGTAATTACATTGTAGCGGCCGGAGTGATTAATGCCTCCTCGAGCGCCGCATGCGTAATGCGAAACACGTTTCGCGCCTTTTCACCCGCACGTGGAGGAAGGCTGCGTGTAAGGACGATCGGTGCAAAAGGAGAATTAAGTGAAACGAAAGCCGGTCCCCCGCCCCGCCGTTAACGTTCGAAAACGATGTATTAAGATAGCGACTGAGAAACGTCAATTTCGAAAACTGGAACAATCGGCTTCGCTTCTCACGCGGGCGGGAGAAAAAGTATTTTTCGTTTTACACGTTCGTTTTCGTCCTTACGTTTCGCAAGGTTGACGCTGGCTATTTCGATCTCAAACGATGACGAATAAAGTTGCCGACGTCTCGTCAGACTGGCCGAGTGCGAATATTTCACGAATATTTATTTTCTCAAAACTAGAAAGCGCCCGCGCGAGCTTGAAATCGTTCACTCTCGTTATCTCTGCGGAGAGAAGTCAAGTTTCGTTAAACAACGTTATCGATTGCCAGTCGCCGAGGGATTCGTTTCATGAGAACGGAAAAGAGCGAGCACACTTCATCTGTCAAGTATCGTTCCGGGAAGCTGTGGTGCAATTAAGAGCAGCGAACCAATTAGCAAGCGCACTGGACTTTGTAAGCTCGAAAGCCCTCTCTGCAAAGGTCTGCCTCGTATGTTCGCAATCACCGTCAATCACGGCAGTCGACCGTCTAATTATAAATGCGCCCGAGAGATGAAAAACACCAAATAGGGGGTGCAGAAGCGAGACGGAAGCTCGGAGAGGAATTCGCACTTGAACTTTACACGTTACAAAACCTTTGGTCCAATGTTTATAACTTTATAATATGTATGGCGTGAGCAGTTTCGTTTCAATATGTAAATACAGACAGAAGTGGAAACTCCGTCGGCTTTTTCACCTTTTCGATAAATGTGTACCTAGATTTAGTCACAGTGATACTTAAATTTTTTTTTATTAAATCGCTTTATAATATTAATTTCAATTCAATTCCACGAGAATAAATGTTACACAGTGGTAGAGAAACGTATGGAAATGTTATAAAAATACAAAAATTG